ACGCTGTATCTGGTCCATCATCAGAAACCAAGCAGAGCAGAAAACAAGGTGTCAGCAGGTCATTGTTCTGACTCTTGGGGAGAAGTGGGAGGTAAGGAAATCTGTGGAAGTCAGCTAATTTATCATGCTGGATTTCTGCTGTCACATCTAAGATCAGCTTCATCTCTTGAAGCTGGGAATGCTGTGCCAGCAGGTCCCAGGCACTGGTGGGATAGGAGCCCAGTAAACCTGGGAGCAGCTGAGATGATCAACCTCCTCTTGCACTGTCCACACCTTGATCAGAAGTGGGGGCAGATCAAAAGGCACCAGCATGTGCCTCCAGCCAGCCTGGAGGTATGCAACCCCCCCAGCAGCTTCTGGGCACAGTGGAATTATGCCCAAAGAAATGATCATGCAGCATCCTCTGCTAAAGAGCAGAGGGGGCAGGCACTGCTGGATCACACAGCACAACCCCAGGAGTTGGGGGTACCATGCAAAGACACACACACAGCCCCCAGGGCTCTGTCTGAGCACACAAAAGGCACACACAAAGCACTCTGATTCATGCAGAAGCAACTGAGTGAAAAAGCCTTCTCTATATTGTTCCCAAACAACCTCGACACAACTCACACGTCAGCCCCGGCCACTTGGTACTTACAAGAGGGTTTGCTGTGTCTGTCTGCTGCAGAGTCAGGCTGGGGTGTGCTAGACTCGGAGGGAAGGTGCATGGAGATGTGCAGAGAGGACCTCTCCTGCCAGAGGGGCCTAGAGGGATGGGGAGAAGGGCCCCAGCCCCGCTTTGGGCCCCAGAGGCAGCACCACTTGTTCAGGGGATGGAGCGCAAAAAGGCTGGCATTCCTACGGCAGCAGGGACAATGGGGAGGGATGAGGAGGCGCTGCCATAATCAAATGCAGGCCAGCTGGCCCTCCCCCAGGAAGGGCAGGCACCTCCTTCACTTGCCAAAGGCTTTGTTTTCTAAGCCACAGAGAACAAAGTGGCTGAGGAGGGGAGGGAGAGGAGGAGGAGGAGAGTGGAGGAGAAGCAGATCCACACGTGAGCACAGGTAACCTGCTCCACCAGGTGTCAACACAGATGGAGAGGGGTTGGGGAGTCCTCTGCCTGCTTCAAGCAGATCCTGGTGTGCAGCAGAAAGAAGCTGGAGATGGCTGGAGATCACTACTGAAGAACCAGTAGCAGCACAGGCTGATGGCCAGGGGTCCTGGGGGGAAGGAATCCAAGGGTGGCAGTCCAAAAATCCCACTGAAGGAACAGCTCATGGAGCAGAGCCCCAAGAAATCCCACCAGGGGAAATGCTACTATTTCTCATCCCAACAATCCTTAGCACCAGCCTCTGAGTGGCTTTCCTTGGAAAGCCAAGGCAAGGCAAGGGCTCAAGCTGCAAGATGCTTCCAGGCCACTGCAGGGCAACACCCAGACTTTCCCTGAGCACCAGAAGAAGCAGCATCTTGCACAACATCCTGACAAGCAGGAAAAAGCCCCTGGGGCTGCCTCGGGCTCTCCTGTAATGACAGGGGTGGTTCAGCCCCACTGCAGGGCATGCAGGTGCTGAGCTGGGCTGATAGGACCCTGCCCTTTCTGGTTGGGTCAGTGATTTCTTCCACGTTGACTTCTGCCAGCAAGGATGGGGCACCTTAGCTACGACCTTTCTGCAGGACTGGCTGTCACCCAGGGCTGGCAGGGATAGTGCTGAGTGCTGGGGATCATCAGGTATGTCACTGCCAGGCAGGCAGCTGCAGTCCTGACAGGGCACACAGCTCACACACAGGCCACTCCAAGCCTGTGGTCCAAGCAGCTGGGCACTTTGATGATGGCAAAGTCAAGAGCACACAGGGACTGGGCTATAAGACTGAACTGGGAAATAATTGTCACCCTAAGAAAGTCTTAGAAAGGAAAACATGGGAAGGTTGACAAGGCAAACAAGGAGAGGGAGATGTGCTCTAGCTCCTTCTAGTAATGGTGTGCCTGTGGAGCCAGGATAGGTGGTGGGAGAAAAGGGTACTGGGTGCTGCCCATGTGAGCAGAACAATGCAGACATCAGAGCTTTTGGTACCACACACACACCCTTGCTTGCTCAGCTTCCCTGTGATGTACCAAAGCCCTGTGTGGTGCCAGGTCCCAACAATCTTGGAACTGAGTAAGCAAGGGACAGTGGAAAGACCAGGCATGAAGCCACAGGAAGATGGCAGGTCCTTGAGTATGCCCACGGTACTGAAAAACAACCCTCTGCCTGTAGTCAGGGGTGGGAAACCCTCCTCCTGCCTCAGCACAGCCCCTGTCAGGCACCAAGAGCTCCTGCCACAAAGGAAGCAGGGACAAGTGGAAACATCCAGCTTGGCTCTGGTCATGGCTGTGGGGAGGGAACCCTGCCAGCCCATCTGCAAGCTCCCTGTGGTCTGGCCCAGCCCGCCTGGCCTCAGGGAGCTCTGACAGACCACCAGGAGCTGCCATGCAGTGGAAGACACAGCACAGCATCTTGACAGACCTCAAGGGGCTGTGCTGTCCTGTCCCACGGCCCATCCAGCAGTCACAGGCAGCCCCCCACACAACACTTGCCCACCACAGCAGAATGGAGCCTCCTGTTCCCAGCAGACAGTGAGGAGCGTGAGGGATGAATCCCACCATCCCTGTGCTGGGAGCTCCACTCCCTTGGCACATGCTGAGGTGTTTGGAGAGAACCCAGCTTGCCAGCTCATTACCATTGGGTACATTGCTTATGCATCCTCAGGCTCCTTCCCCAAACCCTGGGGTCTGCCACACCACAGGCTCTTTACAAGAAGGAAAACTGAGGACACCACTCACTTTAAACTCCTGCTGTTGATGTTCCCTCAGATAGGAAGGAAGGGAGAAGGGGGTTAGCCAGGCACTGACAAGATCACTGCAGGAAGGTCGAAGCAGCACAGCATCAAAAGAGTGAAATCAGTATAGATAAAACCTCCTGCTTTCCTCCAGCCTCCCAGACCACACCACTGACTTGGCTTTGGGAAGGCAGAAATCATTCTGCAGATCAAGATCAAAATCATCAGCACTGAAAAAACTTTCATCCTGCACAGTGATTTCTGCACCCATCCTACAGCTGCAGGATGGATCCCCTCCACACCCCTGGTTTCAGTTGGCCACCAGTTCACAATACACACCTTGGAAATATAACACCAGCTTTGTTTATGGTTCTACTGAAACCAGGGAGATCAAAATCCTCCTCCTGCACCAAGCCAGGTACCTCTCTTCCACGCCAAGGCAGTGTGCAAACACACTCTGCCACTCACATTCATCTTTCACCAGGGCTCTGCACAACCAGGGCACAACCCAGAGGGATGTTGCTGTCAAGGACTGCACCCCCAGCTGTCATCCACCAAAAAGAAGGTGTATGAGCAGTACCATGACACCCTAGGAAAAGAAATGGGCCATTGTTGGGGTCTGTGTAACACTTGTGCCCCAAAGAATGGGCTTGGAGAGGCTTTGGAGCTGTAGAAGCCCATCCACTGCTGTTGAGTCACGTCTGACCACCCTGGCAGCCCAAGAGCTGCCACTGCCAGTGGTTTCCAAGCCTGATCCAAGGAGCCATCGTGTGCAACAATCCGTGTCTGTGCTCCAGAGACACCCAACTTGGGCTGAGTAGGTTCATACACACACACACACACACACACACTAGGTTTGGCCACAGACTTGCCAAGATGCTGAGCAAAGCCTGGCACCCTTGTGTGCCTCAGTTTATAAAAAGAAAGATGACAAAACCATCTTTGCCAGGATCCCCCATGATGGCAATGGGTGTTGAGGGACCAGAGCAGCCCCTGAACATCTGTGCCCAACGAGCAAACAGAGGACAGGTTCCTGCCCTTCTCCTATAGCCCAGAAGGCACTTTTCTCCCCACTAGTAGGGAAAAAATTAAAAATAATAAAACTTAAATGACTCATTCCCACAGCACGAGGGTCCCCCACCTGCACATGAGCTCGAGTGGACCTGCAGAGCACCACCAAGCCCCCTCAATCCCCCCATGTCCCAGCAGCAGTGTTCTGGGATCCCTTCCCCACTCTCCTTCCTCCCACAAGATGCTTCTCCATGTTTTCATGTTTAGCTCAATTTCCTCCCCCCTCCCCGAGCACTTCTGGCTGCCAAGGCAGCTCAGAGACAGCAACAAAGTGGCACCTACATCTGGTACAGCTTAACTTCTAGTGTCTATCCTTCCTGGAATTTGAGAACTTCAATACCCAATGTTTGTACAAGTGTGGAATAAATGGAGCACAGGCTCCCGGCCTTCTGTTCTTGCCAGAGCTGTATTTTAAAAGGCACTTAGAAAATCCTACTGTTTATTCATCTGCAACTTTAGAAATTAAAGGACAGCAAATCCAACTGCAGGTCTGCTGAGTAGGTGCATTTGCATTAACACAAACAGGTGAGCAGGGCAGCACAGTCACCACATGGATCCTCTCCTCCTGCTTCTCAGACATCTGGGCCAACCCAGCCCCCTTGTTCCCTCAGCCACACTTCCCAGCACCCCATCCTGGTGCTCCTTCTCCTCAGGCAGGCCTCCAGCAGGGAGGAGCTGGGCTGTATTTAGGGCTGAGCAGGAGTGTGCTTCTCCTGATGTGTCAGCAGGCTGAACTGACCAACATGTAAGGAATCAGCATGGACCAAACACAGGCAGCCTGGCCTGGAGGCCATGGCTGGACACAAAGCAGCCAATCCCTGGGCCCCTGATGTCCAAGCTACCCTGCCATGATCCTTCTGCCACTGTGGCCAAGAGAGGGGCCTACAAGCTACAGCTCAGACAGCAGAAGATGTCTATTCATAACAGATGTGGGCATCTTCTGGAACACACACCCACCCCTTCTTTTTTTGAAAAAAAATCACTGCAGACACACGAGCATGAGGGGGCTTTTGCAGATCCAGCTCCCTGCTGGTGCACGAGACACCTCACACCTCTCATCAACAACTGAGCTCTGGACTGAGGCCCAGCAGGCTTTTTACACCCTTCTCCACACAGCAGATGCCTTCTCTTACCTTGTCAAAGAACTCATAGAGCCTGACAGTCTCGCAGATCCGGTGCCTGCTTTCATCCAGCTGAGTGCAGAACTCCTCCAGCTGGTCCCTGGAGCTCTGCAGCTTCACCCTGTAAGAACCTACATCCACAGAGGAGAAGTCTTCCCATCGATCCACCTTCTTCAGTGCTTCCTGCCCCCTTCTGCAATATTCCTGAAAACAAAATGGGATTGTGTATGAGGGCAGAGACCTGACATGGGCAGCAGACAGTCTTCAAGGTCATTAACAGCTAGGGCTAATTAGATTGTTTTTTAAGGCAGGAGTGCACTTGTTTACAGCAGAATTCTAGAGAGTTCTGCCCTCTTTTTTGATCTACATGAGCCACACAGCAGCTTGTAAAGGCCTACAGGTCAATTAGGATCAAAAAAAAGTGTGTTACGAGCACACCAAGGGATTAACAACAACAAAATCCATCTTCCACCACAGTAGTTATTTTCCTCAAAGCTGACAAATACCACCTACTGAGGGGTTGAGCTGGTGGCTCTGGCTGCAAGAGGAGAGCAGGGAAGCCAAGTGGTGCAAAGGAAGGACACACACCTTGGTGATGAACCCTCTTCCAATGCCCTCTGAGCATCACAGGTTCAGCTGAGCACGTACAAGGCACAGATGCTGCCAGCTCAGCCTCTGGAGAATATGTTTTTCCAACCAGACAACACTTACACTGGCAACAAGATCAAACTCCCTGAACTGCTTTTGTGTTTGAAGCAGAATCTCCAAAGAATCATCCAGGTTGATAATTTCCTTCAGCCGTTTTCTGCCAACATTCTCAATCCAACTGCTGACCTAGGAGAAAAGGGAACAGCTCCACAATTAGTCACCCTGTGCTACTCACCAAGGCAGGCCTTTATGTGGAAAGAGCAAGGAATTGCTCTCATAATGCTGGTCATTTCATTACTGGAAAGAATGTGCATGTACACTTCTCCCCTCATCCTGGCATTTCAGCTGGAGTCTCCTGCTAGTTTTTCCACTTCAGGTTACTGAGTAATTGCAAAGCTTTGCTGTTGCTCACCAGCCTGAGGCACAAACAGGGCAAGTAGCTGCTTGGGCTCTGGTTCAGGTCAGCCATGGCCTAATGTAAGCCCTGCAACCTGCAGGCTGGCCTGATATTCTTGTTACCCCCGAGTGGGATAAAATCTCCCTGCTGCCAGGTTTCCTGCACCACTTACCTTTTCTGAGTGGCAGGACATGAACTACGTCAGTGGGAAACTACTGATGGATTCTCCCCATCTGCAACCTTTCCCAGTCCTCTGGGGCTCTCAGTCCCTGCTCTTGGTTGCCACCAAGCCCTGCAGTAACTGCAGGCTCCTCAAGAGAGCCCAGCCATGGCCATAAGCCTGTATCCTCAAACATGGGTAGACAACTGACTAAGAGTGTCCTGAAAGTGAAGCAGACACAGGAGACCAGGCAGGATAAGAGCTCCTCCATCCACAGAGGGTTTTAAAAACAGGCTGGAAAACCTGTCTGCTTCAGACATAGCTGCACCTGGAGGAGGAGGCAGACTAAATGTTTCCTAATGTTCATCCATCCTATTTTCCTGTACCACCTCCATCTATATCCCAACTGAACCCCACAGTCAAGGAGAAACTCCTAGTCTTCTGGACTGAGAGTTTGGGCCTGTGGAACAAGCCCCCTGGCAAGAGGAAGAGATGGGGTGGGCTCCCAGGTTGTGACCCACATTGCAGTTCTGACACTGCTGGTGCCTACAGCTCCTAGGCAGGCTGAAAAGCAGGAGCTGCTGCCACCAGCAATGCTGCCATCGGTCACCTGAAGCAAAGTAAGCTGGGAGCTTGGACAGTTCAGCTCAATTCAATCAAAAAAATGTTGGGATAGAGCCTCCACCACCTCTCTGGGCAACCTGTTCCAGTGATTCACCAAAAAGCACCAAAAAAAGTTCAGCTTAAAGCAGGGACAGGCTGCAGAGCATCCCTTTGTGCCTTTTTCCATTTCTGTTTGGTATCAGGAACTGTGTGGTTAAGGGAGTCTTTACTAGGTTCTTGCATCACACTCTGTGACCTGAACACAGAATGCATGGAGCCCAAGTGTCTGCCTCCAAATGGGAAGTCATTACAACTCTTGGATCCACCTTGGGAAGTCATTACAACTCTTGGCCTGTGAAAACAACAGGTAAGTTACAGCCTCCTCTGCAAATCTAGTCCTCTCCAGAGAAGAGCCCAAAATCCTAGAAGAGCAACAGTGAAATTGGACCTACTACTGATTTGTAAGGTTCCTGAGGTGATCCCCAAACAGCACAGAACCCTTCACACACACAGAGGGTAGTAAGTGATATGTAAAACTTCTCATTGCTGATGAGTTACAGCAAAGGAGATTGACTCCTTAATCCTGAGGCTGAGCTCAGGCTTAGGGAGCACAGCCTGGATCTGCAACACTGACCAGATCCCGTTGGACATTCATCCTGAACTGCTTTATAACTCTTTAATCTTCTCTATCTACAGGGCTAGAGGTCTCAAAGGTCCTTCTGAACCCCAGTGCCTGATGGCTTCAGTCCCCCCATGGCTGTGAAGAGTTTCAATGAGCACCACACCAGGGGCACCCATGGAAGTGCAGAGGGGTGGGGGCGCTGAGCACAGCTCTTGGGTTAAGGACAAGAGGCTGTTCCCCAGCCTGCAGACTGCACCCAGGGGGGAAGGAGTGCACCTGGGACTGCACCCAGAGGGGAAGGAGTGCACCTGGGGCTTCTCAGATAGCAGGGACCTGAGCACTGCCCAGGAATCTAAACAACAGAGTGCACAGCAGGGATGGGCAGTTGCCTGGAGTGTGCAGCGCGTGGCTCATCCAGCAGCAGGATGACAGCAAACCCTGCAGGACCTCCAGCCCAGAGGGGACACGCTGACTCCTCATCAGCTTGATGCCATCACTCTGCTGCTTCTCAAGGTGGAGCAGGAAGGATGGCTCCTCAGCAGTCTTGCTGGGAGGGTACTTTTGATAGCCAATGTGAAAATATACCCTATCTCCAAGTGTACTGCTTAGCAATGAGCCACCACACTGTGATCAGGAAAAACATCACAGTTATTTAAGAGGTAGATCCACACTTAGAAAACAACCAGGAGCTTTTTTTCCTTGGTGTGAAGAGGTACCAGGCAAATAGTGCCTTGGTTCTCAGCACTTCTGACAACAAATCCCACATTCCAATGTTCAGTTGTTGGTGCTCTTTTAAAGGCATAATTCTACATCTTCCCAGGAGAGCTCAACAGCCCCAGCACCTGCTGTGGGGTGCACAGTCAGAGGGTGGCAGCAGGCAGTCACAGGCCTTACCTCCTTCAAACATTCTTCCACTTTCTCAAACTCCATCACCAGCTCCAGCTCCTGGATGCGTTTGTTGGACACCATCACCAGGCGGTGGACACCCTCATCAACCCGGTTGTAGAGCGCGCTGGCGGCATCCAGAGAGTCCCTGGAGGGGGACACAGGTCTGGTCAGGGGGTTTGCATCACCTGCAGCACTTCATGCAAACACAACTTGGCTGACAGCAGCACTTCAGTCATCCTCTCTGCAGGACCCATCATGGCCATCTCCATATGGAGAACACGACAATAATGTTGCTGCCTGCACGTCCCCGTGATTCACCACTCTCGGACCCCAGTGCAGACAGCCTGGCAGGAAGGACACAGCCCCTCCTCCCAGCCAGGCTCCTTGCAAAAGTTGGTGTCCTTTCACACTTTCAGATAGGAAATTCCTTCCTGTGAGGGTGGTGAGAGCCTGGCCCAGGTTGCCCAGGGAAGCTGTGGCTGCCCCATCCCTGGCAGTGTTGAAGGGCAGGTTGGATGGGGCTTGGAGCAACCTGGGCTGGTGGGAGGTGTCCCTGCCCATGCAGGGGGTGGGACTGGATGATCTTTAAGGTCCCTTCCAAATTAAACCATTCCATGATTCACATTTACTTCTGTCTCAGGTTATCAGCATATTGAACCTACAAAATGCAACTGAATGGGAGCATTTTGTGGGAACCATGCTGGAGGTTTTAGATTGTATTTTGTTGACATGAGGTAGTACAACATGTCTGGACAACTAGCTCTGCACAGCAGAAACCCACAGGATTTTTCCATTCAGAAATCCAGCCAGGGTGCAACAGCCAACTCCTCAAACCTCAGGCTCTTAAGATACTTTTGTTTTTCCTCTACAAAATGCCATTAGCCTGAAAGAATTTCTACAAAGTGCAGCCAAAACATCCCAAATTGTTTCTGGCCTGAGATCAGTGCTACTGCAGTGCAGAGCAGACAGGTTGTCCACAGACAAACTGCAGCCTCCAATGGAAAGATCAGAGCTGTAAGGCTGCTCCTGCCTTTCCCAAACCCACCATAAACAAACAGTGATGATAGGAGCCTTCTGTTTTGTAATCCTTTCCCAGGGATGGACCCAGATCCAACCCAGGAGACTCACAGCAGCAGAGCCAGCAGCACTGGCCAACCTGAGCTCTGGAAAGCTTGTTTCCAGAGCAGGTTGTACAGGGCAGTTCCCAGCAGCGACACAGCTAGGACAGCTCATGAGGAACAGCTCGGGACATGGCTGGGAGTTGTATTTGGCAACAGTGTGAATGGTGCTGGGTTTTGTGCAGGAGAGCCTATCTGGCAGGTCCTGGTTTCTGAAGAGTACAATAGATTGAAAACAGCACAGAGTAGAAGGACTAGGGGGGTGATGGTGGATGAGAAGCTCAGCAGGAGTTGGCACAATGAGCTGGAGCCCAGAAACCAACTGTGTCCCAGGCTGTGTCATCAGCAGAGTGACCAGCAGAGCCAGGGAGGGGATTGTTACCCTCTGCTCTGGTGAGAACCCCCTGCAGGGCTGGGTCCAGCTCTGGAGCCCCCAACATAAAGAGGACATGGAGCTCCTGGAGAGAGTCCAGAGGAGGAGCCATAGAGATGATCCCAGGGCTGGAGCAGGTCCGCTCTGGAGACAGGCTGGGAGAGTTGGGGTGTTCAGCCTGGAGAAGAGAAGGCTCCAGGGAGACCTTAGAGCACCTTCCAGGGCCTGAAGGGGCTCCAGGAAAGCTGGGGAGGGACTTGGGACAAAGGCAGGGAGGGAGAGGACAAGGGGGAAGGGATTAAAACTGGAAGAGGGTGATTGAGGTGGGACATGAGGAGGAAATTGGTGTGAGGGTGGTGAGAGCCTGGCCCAGGTTGCCCAGGGAAGCTGTGGCTGCCCCATCCCTGGCAGTGTTGAAGGGCAGGTTGGATGGGGCTTGGAGCAACCTGGGCTGGTGGGAGGTGCCCCTACTATGGTTGGAAGTAGATGATCTTTAAGGTGCCATCCAACCCAAACCATTCCATGATTTTATGAAGGCTCCAGAGCTACAGCCAGACAGGCAGACACCCTTTGGTCTTCCTCCCATGCAACCGAAGTCCCTGCTGGCACAAATGCTCTTCTCCAGCCAGGAAAGCCCCCCAACACAGCACATGCTGATCCTCCCACTGGCACAGACAAGCATCTGTAGCTTTAGATATTACAGGCTATCGTATGCAAATATTTGCTATTATCCTCTCATGAGGCAAAACAGTTTTCCAACCTTTCTCTGAGCGTCCATGGAAATCAGTCTGGTGCTGATGCCACCTCTTTTGATGGCAGTCATCAACAAGCTAGATTGACCTGCTAGACCTTTCTGTAATGGGAGTCTTGATGGCCATCCAAGCCCATGAGAAAGGAGTCATCTTTGGTTTCAACACATCACAAGATATCACAAGATGGTGGGAACCTGGTGGTGCAGCAACTTGAAACAAGAGTTCACAGAATCACAGAGTGGTGGGGACCTCTGGAGATCATCTGGTCTAGCCCCTCTGCTACAGCAGGATCCCCTAAAGCAGATCCCACAGGAACATGTCCAGGGATGGAGACTCCACCACCTCCCTGGGCAGCCTGTCCCAGGGCTCTGTTACAATCCGAGTCAAGACGTATTTTCCCATATTCAGGTTCAACCTCCTGTGCTCCAGTTTGTGTCCATTGCCCTTTGTCCTTGCACCCCTGAGAAGAGTCTGGCCCATCCTCCTGACACCCCCTGGAGATACTGATCAGATTCCCCCTCAGTCTCCTCCTCTCCAGCTGAACAGCCCCAGCTCTTCCAGCCTTTCCTCACAGGCAGATGCTCCAGTTCCCCCAGCATCTCAGTGCCCTGTGCTGGACTCTCTCCAGCAGCTCCTTGTTGCCTGTGAACACTTGCACAGCAGGCTAGTGATGGACTTCCCAGGGCACAACCCAACACCCTAAATTTGCCCCTTCCCATGGTCCTGCCAGTGGTTTGCTGAGTGACTGCACACAAGCCACCCTGAAATAGAGTGTTTCCAAAAGGCTTCTATGGGCTCAGAGCCCCAGAGGGACTTCAGGTGTGGCCTCACACCATCCCTCCTCCTCTTCCTCAGCCCAGTTCCTCCAACATCCCTCAGTTCTTTGTCTGGAGGTCCAGCCAGGCTGTTTTCACACATTCTGCCTCACTTGGCAGGCATTCATTAAAACCTCAACGTCTGGTTGTTGGTCTTCTGTTGCATCTCCAAGGTAACTCCATTCATCCACTGTCAGCTCTTGACAGGTCACTTTTACCAGCCCAACAGGCTCTCTGACTAACATCCATCTTTTCCTCTTACACAGAGGAAATATAACCCTTTCCACCCTGGAGTATGAAGTACAGCTGAGCCAAACAAAGAAATCACTCCCAAGCCCATGGGAAAGTTGGGGGGTTTGATTCACTCCAGCACTTCCAGTGCTCATAGAAAGCATCCAATGTGGCACTCACTCCCTTCTCCCAAATCTCTGGTTCTTTCCCCATCTACACACATCCATCCCTTTGCTGATAGACACCTTAAAAACCTCTGAATCCTTTCTACTAAACTGGTAAATTCAACAGTATGCTGGAACAGGGAATTCCATGGGAAACACCAGACATGAACAACTATTGCTTTTTTCAGAGTCAGACTTGGGAGTTTTTCATTCCTGCCCTTTTAAGGCAGCTTGGAGTAAACAAATTAAATATTGACCATTTATTTTAAGAAGGAAAAGTGACTTCCCTCCTGCCACACAAAAAGAAAATACCTGATTGTTAAGCACTTTCAAGGTATTTTAATAGAGGCCTGAGCAGCATTGAGGAAGAAAAGCAGAGAATTGTTTGAAGTCAGTGGAAAGTCTTGTCTGAGCCCAGATCTGTTTGGATGCACTGCAATTTCCCTGCACATATGAGCGTGGTAATAAGAGTCTTTCACTACATTCTTCCATGGTCAAATCATCCAGAGTCATTTTGCAATAGAGCAGAGTCAATATAATTTATAGCAAACAAATGAAAAAAAAAAAGGGTAGCTTCATGTCAGTTTATGTTTCCCCAAATCTTGTTTTCATTGGGCAATTATCGTTTCAGCAGAAGCAGCTTCCCAACATCTTCAGTTTTCTGGAGAAGTGCCAAGGAGTTGTATAATGAAAGGGTAATTCTAAACCTCTAATTCTGAAAGACCATTTCTGTCTGAATCCGCCCTTTAGAAAAAAAAAAAAGCATCTAGACTTGGAGAGTTACACTTGAGTTTTCAGAGTGAAAGAACCTGATTTAGTTTTGAAAATAGATGGTCCAAAAAAGCTTGGAAGAGCAGGTGCTGCACCAGGCATGGTTGGACAAATGGAAGAGGGCAGGGAGGGAGGCAGTAGAACTGTTGCTGTTCTGCAACTCACTGTCTGGCCCTTGAAAACTTGCTCTAGCAGCAAGAGGAACAGCTCAAGTGAAGCCTAAAGCTCATCCTCTGGCTAAACTGGGTCAACTTGAAAATGGCAAAGATCTGTAGATGGAAGGAATGTAAGCCATGTGACTTTTTGCTAGTGTATTTCATAGAATCATGGGTTAGAAGTGACCTCTAAAGGTCATCTAGTCCAACCTCCCTAAAATAAACAAGGACACCTCCCACCAGCCCAGGTTGCTCCAAGCCCCATCCAACCTGCCCTTCAACACTGCCAGGGATGGGGCAGCCACAGCTTCCCTGGGCAACCTGGGCCAGGCTCTCACCAACCCTCACACCAAACAATTTCCTCCTCATGTCTCACCTCAATCTCCCTCTTCCAGTTTTAATCCCTTCCCCCTTGTCCTCTCCCTCCCTGCCCTTGTCCCAAGTCCCTCCCCAGCTTTCCTGGAGCCCCTTCAGGCACTGGAAGCTGCTCTAAGGTCTCCCTGGAGCCTTCTCTTCTCCAGGCCGAACACCCCAACTCTCCCAGCCTGTGTTCATGATGCTGCAGCTAATGCAGATACTGCTAAATGGACTGTAATCATTCTCTGCAGTGCACAAATAGCTACAGTGGTTTTAATTACCCAATAAAAGTATTTGGGGAACTAGGGACAGTCTTTAGAACCCTGAAGTGTCCTTAGAAAGGCAGAGAGGTCAAACACCAAGTCTGGGGCTGCCTGTTGGATTCCTGCCATTCATGATGGGAAGAGTG